ATGGGTGTGGGTGACGCATGCGGCCGCGGGCACTGGGGCCTTCGGTGGAGCTCCCTATGGAGCCACGAAACGTGTGAGGGGTGTGCCGAAATGGGTGTGGGTGACGCATGCGGCCGCGGGCACTGGGGCCTTCGGTGGAGCTCCCTATGGAGCCACGAAACGTGTGAGGGGTGTGCCGAAATGGGTGTGGGTGACGCATGCGGCCGCGGGCACTGGGGCCTTCGGTGGAGCTCCCTATGGAGCCACGAAACGTGTGAGGGGTGTGCCGAAATGGGTGTGGGTGACGCATGCGGCCGCGGGCACTGGGGCCTTCGGTGGAGCTCCCTATGGAGCCACGAAACGTGTGAGGGGTGTGCCGAAATGGGTGTGGGTGACGCATGCGGCCGCGGGCACTGGGGCCTTCGGTGGAGCTCCCTATGGAGCCACGAAACGTGTGAGGGGTGTGCCGAAATGGGTGTGGGGGACGCATGCGGCCGCGGGCACTGGGGCCTTCGGTGGAGCTCCCTATGGAGCCACGAAACGTGTGAGGGGTGTGCCGAAATGGGTGTGGGTGACGCATGCGGCCGCGGGCACTGGGGCCTTCGGTGGAGCTCCCTATGGAGCCACGAAACGTGTGAGGGGTGTGCCGAAATGGGTGTGGGTGACGCATGCGGCCGCGGCCACTGGGGCCTTCGGTGGAGCTCCCTATGGAGCCACGAAACGTGTGAGGGGTGTGCCGAATTGGGTGTTGATGATGATGATGATGATGATGATGGGGGGGGGGGGAGGAGGCAGCGGGAGGAAGGAAGGAGAACGCGGGGCACCGTCTCTTCAAAACGAGGACCCAACACCACAGGATGGTTGGGAAAAAATATCCTGGCGAAGGACCCAACCATATGTAGTTGTGAGTATCGCAATTGTGAGTATCTTCTTCGGTGGCGCTCCCTATGGGGCCACGAACCGCACGAGGGGTGTGCCGAAATGTGGCGGGGTACACAACGCAAAGGAGTACGGTAGATCTGATTACGAGAGAAAGAACGCGGGTGAGTCAGAGCGCGAGGGAATCTGAGTATGAATGGGTCTGCGCGCGAGTGAATATATTTGCATGAATGCGATCATGGAAACGCCTAGTGTAAGTGTCGAGCATGCCTGTCCGAACACACGTGACACTGGGCGTGGCCGCCGCAGGCAGCTTCCGCGGGAACCCCGACGGCAGCGTCCGCACGTCGCGACGCCCATGTCGGCACGCCTCTTGCGAGGATCGCGCCCGCTTTCGGCTCTTCTTTTCCTTCCTCTTTGCCCGCGCACTCCAAAATCCAAGGCTGCGGGCGCAGCGCAGCGCGGAGTCCCCGCGACGCGCGCTGGTCGCCCCGGGCGGGGTCCCAGCGACGCGCGCGGGTCGTCCGCTGCGCGAAGCAGAGAGAGCTGACTAGCTAACTGGCTGGCTGATAGCGGGCAAGTCTCTGACCGCTGGGCAGAGCGACGACGGGCGAACGAGGCGCCGGGCCCCCCGCAGCACGGAGTTCCCGCGACGCGCGCTGGTCGCCCCGAGAGGGTCCCAGCGACGCGCGCGGGTCGTCCGCGGCGCGAGGCCAAACAATTAGTCGGGCAGTCGAGAGAAGGCGCGGCTCGGGGGAGACGCTCCTCAGGTCAGGCCTCGCGGATGAACTCGGTGAAGCCGAGCTCCCTGGCGAGGGCCGTCGCTTCCCTCCTGCGCCGCTTCGTGCGCGCCGCAAACTGCTCCAGCTGCTTCCGCAAGCCCTGCGGCGGCCCTGCCAGGAAGAACTCGATGCGCGGCGCCCGCATGAGCAGGAGGTCCTCGTGGCGCGTGGCGCGCGAGAGCAGCACGTAGAGCTCCAGCCACCAGTCGTCGTCCTCCTTCTTGCCGTTCCCTACCTCGTGGCGGCCGCAATCCAGGATCACGCCTGGGCGACGTCGACCGAGGGAGCAGCGCGCCGGGCAGCCGACGGCCCAGGGCGAGAGTCCACAGGACCGAGAGATGGTCTGGCCGCGGACTGCTCGCGCCCCGGAGGTCTGGCCGCCCCCGGAGCGCCGTTCCCCCGCCCCGTCGCCTTCGCGCATGGTGCGCCCCTGGCACGCCACCGTGGTGATGACCCTGCCGTGCGAGAAATGCGGGGGGTGTGCCGAAATGGGTGGGGGTGACGCATGCGGGCGGCGCACTGAGGCCTTCGGTGGAGCTCCCTATGGAGCCACGAAACGTGTGAGGGGTGTGCCGAAATGCGCATGCGGCCGCGGGCACTGGGGCCTTCGGTGGAGCTCCCTATGGAGCCACGAAACGTGTGAGGGGTGTGCCGAAATGGGTGTGGGTGACGCATGCGGCCGCGGGCACTGGGGCCTTCGGTGGAGCTCCCTATGGAGCCACGAAACGTGTGAGGGGTGTGCCGAAATGGGTGTGGGTGACGCATGCGGCCGCGGGCACTGGGGCCTTCGGTGGAGCTCCCTATGGAGCCACGAAACGTGTGAGGGGTGTGCCGAAATGGGTGTGGGTGACGCATGCGGCGCGGGCACTGGGGCCTTCGGTGGAGCTCCCTATGGAGCCACGAAACGTGTGAGGGGTGTGCCGAGTGTGGGTGACGCATGCGGCCGCGGGCACTGGGGCCTTCGGTGGAGCTCCCTATGGAGCCACGAAGCAGTGTACTGGGTGGGTGAAGAGGAGAGGAGAAGAGGAGAGGAGAGGAGAGGAGAGGAATGATGATGATAATGATGATGATAATGATGATGATGACGATGATGATGATGATGATGATGATGATGACGATGATGATGGTGATGATGATGATGATGATGGCAGGAGGGAGGGGGCAGCGGGAGGAGGAAGGAGAACGCGGGGCACCGTCTCTTCAAAACGAGGACCCAACACCACAGGATGGTTGGGAAAAACATTAGCTTGGCGAAGGATCCAACCATATGCAACTGTGAGCACCGCAGTCGTGAGTATCATCTTCGGTGGAGCCCCCTATGGGGCCACGAGACGTGCGAGGGGTGTGCCGACATGGGTGGGGCGGACGCATGTGCACGGTGCCACTGGCGCCTTCGGTGGAGCACACTGGCGGGCCACGAAACGTGTGAGGGGTGTGCCGACATGGATGTGGCGGACGCATGTGGACGGTGCCACTGGGGCCTTCGGTGGAGCTCGCTGTGGGGCCACTCAACGTGTGAGGGGTGTGCCGACATGGGTGGTGGGGGGGCATGCGGGTGCAGCCACTGGGGCCTTCGGTGGAGCTCCCTATGGGGCCACGATGCGTGTGAGGGGTGTGTGCCGAAATCGATGGTGGGGGAGGCATGCGGGCGCAGCCACTGGGGCCTTCGATGGAGCTCCCTACGGGGCCACGAAACGTATGAGGGGTATGCCGAAATCTAGTGGTGGGGGAGGCATGCGGGCGCAGCCGCTGGGGCTTTCGGTGGGGCTCCCTTTGGGGCCACGAAATGTGTGAGGGGTGTGCCGAAGCTGATGACGATGATGGTGATGATGACACCGATGATGGTGAAGACGATGTTGATGGCGACGCCGATGGCCATGATGCTGATGATGGCGATGATGATAACGCCGATGATGATGGTGATGATGATGATGACGGTGATGGTGATGATGATGATGATCATGATGACGATAAGGATCATGATGATGACGATGATGCTGCTGATGATACTGATGATGATGATCGTGATGTCGATGATGGTGATGACGACGACGATGAGGATGAGGATGGTGATCATTACGATGATCATGCTGATGAGCATGATGATGATGCTGCTGGGAGGAGGGAACGGGAGGAGGAAGGAAGGAGTGGAACGCGCGGCGCTGTCTCTTCAAAACGAGGACCCAACACCACAGGATGGCTAGGACAAACACAAATTACGAGAGAACAGCAAAACAAATAAACAACATTAACAATAGTAACAATCAAACACACGGGAACGTCTACAAGGGATGACGGCCCCAGGAGATCCCCAAGAGGTCTCCAACTGACCCCACGAAGCCTCCCAAAGGCCCTAACGAAGCACCACGCGTGACCCCAAGAAGCATCCGAGAGGACTCGGATCCACAACCCACGCACGGTCGCCCGATATTCAAACTCCCTTTCGGCTTCAAACCGGTCAGCGAGGCAGGGAAGAGGACTAGTGCGACGGCGTGCAGACAAGACGAGAGAAACATGACGCACCAGAGAATGACGTGTTACATTTGGTTTACCGCCTGATGTTTCTCACAAGAGATCTATTTGCGGGCTTTCACAATGTGAATTCCCGCCGTTTGCAATATCCTACTAAAAAGTGAGCAGACCGTAAAGTCGAAAAAACGTGAGACATGGACGCCCAGCTCAAATGCACTGCGAACACACATCATGCATACGGCATGACGCCAACCCTGGGCCAAATTTGGGCCTGACGGGGGGCGGGTGGACGGGTGATCAAGTGAAACTATCACCGTTGCGTGTCGATGCGCAGATCAGGCAGCCAACGTGGCCAGAAGAAACATCGCTGCGACGACAATCCAAGGTACATCGAGGGATGATCCAACACCGTGGCGGCGGGGAGGAGGAGACGAGAAGGAGAAGAAAGAGCGGCGAGGGAGGAGGGAGGACGGAGCCTGGAGTGGATGTGGACCTCGAGGAGAAAAGAAGAGGAGAAAGGAAGGGAGAGGCTGAGAGGAAGAGACAGCATTGCCGAGGCCGACGTAAAAATGAACGCTCAAACGGTCGAAGATCAGAGACAAGCCTTTTAGCTTGAGAAAAACACGATGTTCCTGAGCCTGGCCCATAGAGCAACCCCTGACACCGCCTCAACCGAGCGCCCAGGGACACTGTCGGTTCGGCCGAACCCTTCACTCTGACAAGTCGTCACGCACACTGAGAATAGATTTGCTGTGCCGCGCGACTACAGTGAGGCCTGGCGTCCTTCACTGCGCCTGCATGAGTGCTAAGATCATCGATCAATCTTCCCTAGCACCTTCTCGGTGCTCCTTCTGCGGCCCACTCTGGAGCGATACAAGCGGCGACCCGTCATAGCTGTGGGTCTGCTGAAGTGGAGATGACCGAGTTCATTGCGCATGGCTTCTCTAATGGCGACTCCAAGGGAATGCTGAAGACTTGAGGCTTTGCGGTCACCGCCCCGACGGAAGCTCCATCCCGTCTTATCCGAAACTTCGGAGCAAGCATGACACTCAGGGTTTCAGCTCCTTGCGGGTGGTCGGCTGCAAGCACAGCCTGGTTTCCCAGGAGGCACGTCACGTCTCTGATCAGTTCCAAAGCCCTGTGCTGCGATCGCAGGAGCTGCAACGTCCGGGTAGTTTCGATTGGAACGCTCTCGAATGCCAAATGACAAACTCCCTCGAAGAACTCCTCTCGATCAACCTTGCCGGACCCATCCGTATCAAGAAACTCATACAAGTCGGCAAGGTTGTCTGATACCAGTAGCTTTTTGAGGTCCTCTGGCAAAGTGTCAAAACCCTCGAATCTCTCGATTCCTGCCATGACCTCGCTCAACTGCAGAATGCCATCCCCGTCCAGGTCCAACTGCGAAAACACAGAGTTGATGCAGGGCGTCAGGGCCTTCAACTTCTTCCGTAAGCAATGCGTCCTCATATCCCTGTCCTGGCCACCTCGCGCGATGGCATTATCGACAATCACAGCAGCCACCGATGTCATCAGCGACACAGTGACCGTGAGCCACAAGGCACCGAAATAGAACGCCAAATACCACGCCTTGTTCACAAGGGGCGTATAGATAGACGAAATGGAGTCCGCATTGGTGAACCGGAACAGCGTGAGCATCGTTAGCTGCACCGTCCTGAAATTCTGTTCTACCACGCTCGCAGTTTCTGGATCCTGCAGCAGAGTATGCTGAAGAAGAAGCAGCGGCACAGACATAACACTTCTGAGCGCCTCGCGGGCTTCTCCGATCGGCGCCGATCCGAGAAGCGAGGGCGGCGCTCCGAAAGTCTATGCTCGTGCCGCTGCCAGCTCTTCCGGTCTCGTTTCTCGTGATCAGCTCGACGCCGATGCAGGCGAACACGTAGATCGCGAGCACCACCAGGAAGGCCGCCGAGAGCACGGTCCGCAGCGAGCTCCCGAGGCCCGACACGAGCTTCCACATGTCCTCCGAGTGGGAGGTCGACTGCAAGATTGGAAGGGGAGGTGGAACACACAAGTAAATACACACAAATATATATATATATATATATATATATATATATAAAAAAAAACATATTGTCTCATAGTGTCTGGGTTTTTGTCTTCCCCCCCACTTCCCATATTTTCCCAGATTTTCTGGGGAATGGAGGATTAATTGTGTCTGTGTGTTTCTTTTCCTCCTGAAGATTGCTTGGCCGCAGGATTGACTCTCTCGTCGAACCCGTGAGAAGAATGCGCAGACTAGTCCGTAGATCTGCGGAGCAGTGTGGGTATGTTTCGGGGAGACGTAAGACTCGGGTACGGGGCACTCGGGTTGGCCCGACGGGGCCATCATAAAAATGACGAGGCCCAATCTGAAATGTAATGCGAGCTCCCGCTGCAGACATCCCACGAAAACTGGACCGTCAAAATCCAGGACGCGCTCGTCAAAAAAACGTCGGCGAACCCGAGTTCCGGCTTACTCGGGTCTTGCGTTTCCCCGAATGTTTCGTAGATTCGACGGGGATTCAATCTGGGGGTACATCGATTCTGTAGTCGATCCCCTACTCGAGTCCTGGAACTCCTCCATCAGGCGGAAGGCGCGCACGAGGCGCAGGAGGCGCAGTGTGCGAACGATGGCAGAAAAAGTAACAGCTGCGTGAGCAGAAACTTTCGGAGCTCCGAGTGGATTTCTCGGACCGGCGCTGGACCCCCCTCGTTGGCGCGCGGAGCGCGCAAGGGACGGCGCCTCAGGCGCCGCCGGGGGGTCCAGCGCAGATCCAAGAGATCCACGCGGAGCTCCGAACGTGTGTGCTTATGCAGTTTTCCTTCTTCGAGATCAGCAATTTAGAGAAGATGTCGAGGACACTCTGGTCGGCACCAACCAACTCCATGATGGGCGCACATATCCAAGTGGTAACAACTCCGGTGGTTACCACAACGGCATCGAACTGGAACCAAAAGTTGAACACGATGATCTTGCCGTCCGCGACCGCGCGAATTAGCAACTCGATGACGAAGAGAACCAAATACACATGCTCGAGCGCGTGGAGAACGCTCGTGAGATCATCTCTGCCTTGGATGTCCCACTGGATCTCCAGGCCTACACTTATGGCACTGGCGATTATGACCATGCCCATAGCCGCATCGAAAGCATGACCGCCATGGACCAACTTCCAAGCAGTATGCCTTATTGAACCCACGTTCCAAGGTACGTTTGGCTCCGTTAACATCGCAAGTTCCATCGTCGTGGACTTGCTCAATGTGTGTTTTCTCTTGTTTGGTCTTGACGCTTCGATATCATCACTTCCAGTGTCGTCAGTCAGCGCCTGCGAGTTATCCATCCGATCGCAGTCATGAGATAGAACGGAGCTGTCAGGGAGCTTATCTGGGCACACTCTGAACGCCCGAGATGGCGTTCGCGGCGAGTATACATCCTCACAGAAGAGAGAGATCGACCCTGCGTCGGGCCCCTCCGCCACCCACCCATATCAACAGGACGGAGAGTTTTGTGTTACTTTCTATTAGGCGATCGCCCAAATCATCCGGTGGGGGGAAGTGCCGCTCCAAGAATACCCGCGCGCACCAAGACTATACGCACCCCCTTCGCACCTGCGTAACCGACGAGATCATGCCATCCCAGGGGGGGGGGGGTCGGGCGGGCTGGCGGGCGGGCCCCATCACCGAGACTCTCGCTGGGCCCGAACAAAAAGCGGAACGCCAACCGGAGAATTCGGAGGACCTTGGGCGTCTGGTATGAGCCGGCAGCGGTGGTCACGGCCAACCTTTCCCCTCCGCTCCTCGCTGCTCGAGCACGTGCCGTCGCCGCTGGCCGCGCGGCCGACACAGCTGCTGCCGTGGCGGCGTCTGCCTTCGGGCGGTACCGCCCCTCCCCTCTTGAACGAAGGATTGCAAAAAAACCCAGGATTGCACAAAAACCCAGGGTTTCAAAAAAAAACCCAGGATTGCAAAAAACCCATGGTTTTTTTGCAATCCTTCGAAAAAACCCAGGGTTTTTTTTGCAATCCCAGGGTTTTTTTGCAATCAAGGGTTTTTTTGCAAAGCCTCCCCCTCGGGTGCGCTCCGGCCAACATTCTGAGGCTCATCCCGCCGCGGCAACGAGGGCCCCGCAGGGAGGCCTACGACAGGCGAGGCACGCGGGAAGGGCAATTCATTACGGCCGGACCTGAGACCGAAGAGCACCCCTCGAGATCAATTAGACCCTCCGCTGGCCCCCTCCTCCAGGGGCACCCTCCTCTCTGGATGCACAGGGCAGGGTAATGAATTACGGCCGGACCTGAGACAGAAGAGCATGAGACCTTCAAGACCGGAGGCCACGCAGGAGGCCTGTGAAAGGCGAAGCACGAGGGAACGGTAGTCAATTACGGTCGGACCTTCGAGATCCTGAGACCCTCCGCTGGCCCCCAACCCACAGCACATCCAGGGGCACCCTCCTCTCTGGACGCGCAAGAAGTTCCAACAAGAGCACGGAGAATAGCAGGGCATAGCCTGCCCGAGCCGACCTCGATCTTACACCTCGGTCCGACTGTCGCAACACGTGTGCCCTTTCCTCCGCTGAGCCTTTGCCGGGCACCGGCAAGTGTGGCTGCTGACTCCGCGCGTCCGCGCAGTCGCCGCCCGCGGCGCAGCACTGGCCGCCGCTGCCCGGGGGGTCGCTGCCGCTCGGAGGAGGGCCAGCCGAAGCCACAGCGGCTCTCCCACCCAGCCGCTGCCCAGATCCGCCCAGAAGGGGTCTCCCCACCAGCCGCGCCCAATCGCAGGCTGATTTTCACTCTTCAATCCATCATGATCATCATGATCATGATCATCCTCATCCTCATCCTCATCAGCGTCAGCATCAGCATCAGCATCAGCGTCAGCGTCAGCATCAGCATCAGCATCAACATCAGCATCAGCATCAGCATCAGCATCAGCATCAGCATCATCATCATCATCATCATCATCACCACCACCACCATCATCATCATCATCACCATCATCACCATCATCATCGTCATCATCATCGCAGGCATTTTTCGAGCAGCGCGTTTGGTGGATTGCGTCCCCGGCGCGTTCAGTGATTGTGCATTTCCCTACTTCGTCCACTTCCTCGTCCTGGCCTCCCTCCTTTCTTCCTCCTCGCCTCCCTCCCCTCTGCGTTGCGTCGCATGCATCCGAGTCTTGCTTCCCTCCCGACGGCCCTACGGGTTGTCGTGCAGACGCACGGCCTGAGTGAACGAGTGGGCTCTAGCCGGGCCTCGGCACCGCCAAGAAACGACTACGAGGCCAGTTCCCTGGAAAGGGCCGAGAGACCGGACAGAAGGCCCCCCCCCCCCATTCTTGGGGGGGCTTCCGGGGGCGGATCCGACCCCTGGCGACGAGGAGCCCCCCAGGAGGGCCCGAGGAGGCGGCGAGGGGCGCGGGCGAAGGCCGCCGCCGCCGCGGCGCTCGCCCCCCTCCGCGATGCGTGCGCCTCCGAGCTCGCCGCGCGCGAGGGCCTGGGCCCGCAGCTCCGCGCGCAGCCCGCGGCGGAAGGCGCTCTGGTCGTCCAGCGGGTCGCCCCAGGCCCTCTCCGGCGGCGCGTGCAGCGAGGGGTACTCTGTAAGAACGGTTTTTTGAAGGCAGATCTGCCTTCAAAAAACCGTTCTTACAGAGTAGACCATTTTTTGAAGGCAGATCTGCCTTCAAAAAACCGTTCTTACAGAGTAGACCAGTCTTTCCTCTTTGAAGGCAGATCTGCCTTCAAAAAACCGTTCTTACAGAGTCAACGCGCACAGGAAGGACGGGCATGCTGCCCAAGGGTGCCCTTTGCACCCTTTGCCTCCTCGCTCCGTCCTTGGCCACCTTCGTGGGCCGCGCTCCGCTCGAGAGGCTTCGAAATGGGCGTCCAAGGCCTTTTTTGCATCCTTCTCGCGCGTCCTTGTGAGACGGGCCGACTGCAGGGGGAGGGGGGAAGGCTTCTTGGAAGGAGGATGCTCCTCAGCAAGCGACGGCCCCAACATCGATGGACGAGGCCCGCGCCTTCTGAGAAGCAGGGGTGCTTCCAAGAAGCCTTCCCCCTTTAGAAAAAGAGGAATCTGCATATACATAAACTTCTGGCGCTCCACAGCAGACCCCCATTCCTTGGCACGCGGAGCGCGCCAGGGGTGGCGCCGGAGGCGCCGCCAGGGGGGCCCAGCGCAGTTCTCAGAAATCCGCGCGGAGCGCCAAAACAGTTTATGGTTATAGCGTTTTTCCTCTTCGATACAAGGAGGCTGCTCCTCAGAAGGCGCTGGCCTCAACAGCGATGGACGAGGCCCGCGCTTTCTAAGAAGCATGGGGTGCTTCCAAGAAGCCTCCACCCCTCCCCGTACAGTCGGCCCGCATCATAGGACGCGCGGCAAGGATGCCAAGGTCTTGGACGCCCACATCTCGAACCGTTTCGAGCGGAACGCGGCCAACGATAGTGGCCAAGGATGAACCGATGAGGCAAAGATGCAAGGACACCCTTGGGCTCAATGGGCCCCAGAAACGGCAGGCCATTTTCCACCGCTTCCGAAAAACAAATTCTTGATGGTGGAAACGGTCTGAGTGGCAAGAAGAACGGCAAAACGGAACTGGCACAGAAAACGGCCCCGTCGCTTCCAAGGCCCACCACTGAGCCCTCGGGAGGCTTGCTCCTCCTTGCTGTGCGGCTTGACCGCACCCCCCGGCTGCGCGTGGCCGACCTCTGGAGGCGCTCCAGGCGTGCCAGGGTGCCCTCGAGCTCCGGCAGCGCCTCGGGCATGGCCCGCGTGCCCACCGGCGGGGCGGCGGGCTCCAGGCCCCGCGCGGCACCCGGAAGGCCTGCTCCCCTGGCAGCGGTAGCCGCCAGCTGGGCAGGCCTCGGCGGGCGAGGGCCTCTCTCTTGAGCCCGACCTGCCGACGCTCAATGGGGCTGGCTGGCGGCTCTGAAGACACGCTGGTCGGAAGAAGTGGGTCGACATATGAAGTAGGAGGACGTTGGAAGCCGATCGGGCTCCCACCCGCCCCCGGCAGAGGAGGGAAGAAGGAAACCAGTCGGTCCTGAAAGTAGGAAGGCGCCAACAGCAAATTGGGATCTGGGAGTCCAGAAAGACCTCTTTTCAACGACCGGCGTGCACAATCAACCAGTATGACAAGGATGCGCGGCAAGGATGCAAAAAAGGCCTTGGAAGGCCATGTGGGCACTTTTCGAGCGGGGCGCGGCCAACGAAAGTGGCCAAGGATGCACCGAGGAGGCAAAGATGCAAGGGCAATGTCGAAAAACAGTTGTAAAACTAACCTGGGGGGACAGATTAAACACAAATTATTCGCGGCGCTGTAGTGCGCATATAGAAAACTAGCGGAAGGCGGGGCAAACCGGACCGCTGGGGACGTCCCGGCGACCGCCCTGGCACTCCGCGTCCAGGGGCAGATTCCTGCGTTGGGTTCGCGCGGGAGGGGCACGTCTTTGGAGACCCCCCGCGTCGACGACGATCGGCGCCGACGCTCGGCGCGTCAACGACGATCGTCGCCGACGCTTGGCACCGACGCTCGGCACCGACACTCTGCGCCGACACTCGGCAGTCACACTAGGCGCCGACACTCAGCACCGACACTCGGTGCGCGCACTCACCATGAGTGCGCTCTCAACCCCATCACCTCGCCAGAATGCACTCACCAGAGTGCACTCAGGTGAGTGCACTCTGGGCATCTGAAGGGGGATGCCCGGAGTGCAGTGACCCGCGCATGGCGGGTTTCCCATCGCGAACGATTTGAAAACCACCACACGAGCGCGTCGCCACATTGTAGGCTGCACTGGTATACGAAAACGTAAAGACCTTATTCCTACTTGGAAATTCGATCAGCAACCGCTAGAATATGTTCGCATCAGTTCGCAGGCCAACGCGGCGACATTCCAATTGCGGACAAACATGTAAAAAACACGCGAATGCGCGCGTCGGCGCATCATAAACTGCTCCAGTCGACGAGAACGTAAATACCGCATGTTGCGAGGGAAATCCCATCGGCGACCGCTAAGGGGTCACTTCTAATTCCCAGACCAGCATGGCAACTTTCCTATTGCGGGCAACGCAGAAACCTCCACGCGCGCCCGCGCGCGTGGGCGCACTGAAGGCTGCACTAAGGTACGGAAGTGTAAAGACCGCGTGTTAAGCTTGGAACTCCGATCAGCAAGCGCTAAGCGTTCACTTTAGTTCCCAAGCCAGCATGGCGACTTTCATATTGCTGACAACACAGAAGCCGCAACACGCGTGTGTCGGCGCATTGTAGGCTGCACCAATAGACGAAGGAATAAAGACCGCATGTGAAGCGGGAAACCCAATCGGCAAGCGCTACGGGTTCACGTTATTGCCAAGGCCAGCAAGGCGATTTTCCGATTGCGGACAACACAGAAACCGCCACGCGAACGCGCGCGTCGGCGCATTGTAGGCTGCATTAATGGACGAAAACAAAATCGAAAGACCGCGTGTTAGGTGGGCAATCCGATCGGCAACGGCTGCGGGTTCACGCCGCGCGCGCGGGCGAGTCGGCGCATTGTGGGCAGTGCCGATAAACGCAAACGTAAAGACCGCATGTTACGTTGGAACACGAACGGGCAAACGCTGCAGGTTCACCTGAGTTCGCAGGCCAGCATGGCGACTTTCCGATTGCGGGCCGCCGCGCACGCGGCGGCCCGTGCGCATCTCGCGCGGACACAAAAAACAACACATACACACAACATGCGCGAGGCGCGAGAGCCGACGCTCGCGCCGCGGCCCACGCGCATCTTGCATGGAAAAAAAACCATGCGCGAGGGGCCATGGGCAGCCGCGCGCGCGGCGGCCAGCGCGCATCTTATATGGTGGAAAAAACAAATGCGCGAAGCGCCAAGGGCCGCCGCGCGCGCGATGGCCCACGCGAATTTTGCATGACAAACGCAATGCGCGAGGGGCCAAAGGCCGCCGCGCGCATCTTGCATGAACAATAACAGAATGCGGAAATGGGACCCAGGCCACCGCGCGAGCGATGGCCCGCGCGCGCCCTGCATGGACAAGCCCAGCGCGCGAGTGTGCCAAGGGCTGCCGCGCGCGCGGCGGCTCACGCGCATCTTGCAGGAACGTGCACAGGGCGCGAGGGGCCAGGGTCGCCGCGCGAGCGATGGCCCACGCGCACCCTGCATGGACAAACAGACAATGCACGAGTCTGCCATGGGCCGCCGCGCGCGCGGCGGCTCACGCGCATCCTGCACCGAAACGCACAATGCGCGAAGGGCCAGGGCCGCGGCGCGCGCGGCGGCGGACGCGCATCTTGCATGGGACAACAATGCGCGAGGGGCCAAGGCCGCCGCGCGCGCGGCTGCCAAAGCGCATCTTGCATGGCAAACGCAGAATGCGCGAGGGGCCAGGGCAGCCGCGCGCGCGGCGGCCCACGCGCATCTTGTATGGAAAAACGCAACGCGCGAAAACCAATGGGCTGCCGCGCGCGCATCTTGTATGGAAGCACACAATGTGCGAATAACAATGAGCCGCCGCGCAAGCGCTGCGGCCAACGCGCACCTTGTATGGAAGAGCACAATGCGCGAGGGGCACAGGGCCGTCGCGCGCGGGGCGGCCCACGCGCACCTTGCATGAGAAAAAACCAACGCGCGAGGGGCCATGGGCAGCCGCGCGCGCGGCGGCCCCCGCGCATCTGATGTGTATATATATATATATATGCAGATCTATATATATATATATATATATATATATAGAAAGGGGCCAGGGCCGCCGCGCGCGCGCGGCCCACGCGCGTCTTGCAAGGAAGACGCACCATGCGCGAGGGGCCAGGGCCGTCGCGCGCGAGCGGCGGCCCACGCGCATGCCAAACTGAAAGAAAACATGCGCGAGGGCCGCCGCGCGCGCGGCGGCCCGTGCGCACCTTCACGGGGCGCCAAGAGCCGCCGCGCGCGCGGCGGCCCACGCGCATCTCGCATGTAAAGCCACAGCGCGCGTGGGGCCATGGGCCGCCGCGCTCGCGGCGGACCACCCGCACCTTGCGCTGAAAAACAAAATGCGTGGGGATCAATGCGCCGCCGCGCGCGCGCGGCGGCCCACGCGCGCCTTGCATGGACAGAACGCAGCGCGCGAAGGGCCAGGGCCGCCGCGCGCGCGGCGGCCCACGCGCATCTTATATTCAAAAACACCATGCGCGTTGGCGCATCCTGTATGGAGAAGCACGATGCGCGAGAGGCTATGTGCCGCCGCGCGCGCGGCTGACCACGCGCACCCTGCACTGAAAAAAACCACAATGCGCGAGCGGCCACGGCCGCCGCGAACGCGGCGGCCAACGCACATCTTATGAAACAGAAGTGCGCGAGGAGCCATGGGCCGCCGCGCGCGCGGCGGCCCCCGCGCACCCTGCGCGGAAACAAACTCAATGCCCAAGTGGCTAGACCAACCGCGCGTACGGCGGCCCACGCGCATATTGTACGGAAACACACACACACACACACACACACACACACACACACACACACACACACACACACACACACACACACACACACACACACACACACACACACACTGCTCGAAGGGTCATGGGCCGCCGCGCGAACGACGCCCCGCGCGCACCTTGTAAGGAACAGCGCAACACAACGCGCGAGGGGCAATGGGCGGCCGCGCGCGCGGCGGCCCCCCCGTATCCTGCGTGGAAAAACTAAATACCCGAGTGGCTAGAGCAACCGCGCGTACCCTGCATGGAAAAACACGATGCGCGAGGGGCACAGGGCCGCCGCGCGCGCGGCGGCCTACGCGCATCCAGTATGGAACAACACACCGCGCGAGGGACCAGGTCCGCCGCGCGCGCGGCGGCCCACGCACATCTCGCATGGAGAAACACAGTTCGCGAGCGGCCAGGGCCGTCGCGCGCGCGGCGGCCCTGGCACACTGCGTGGGGAGACGTAACACTGCGCGAGGGGCAAGGCCGCCGCGCACGCGGCCGCCATGGCCCATGCTGCGTGGGAAGCGTAGGCCCGTACACTGCTCCAGTAGGACAAGAACTACTGATTCGTTGGCCGGAGCAACCTATACATTTGCGCAAACAAATCGGATGCTGTTTCCAATGCGTGCGCGTGCATGTATATGTTTACAATACACACGTATGTGCGCTGTCCGTCGGTTATCTGTTCAAGGGGACAGATCGAAGAAACAAAACAAACATGACACTCGGGATCTGGGAGGGAGGGGGGTCATAATAATTTCTCCCCCATATCCTAGGATGGGGTTCTTGTTGCTACTTGGACGCCTCCTCCTCCTTCCTCTTCTTTTTCTCCTCCTCCTCATACCTATACTTACTCATACACAGACTTACGCATACACAACACAAACTTACGTGTACTCAGACCTAACCATTTTACCTTACTCATACTCAGACCTACTCATATTCAGACCCACTCATACTCATACTTACTCATGCTGAGACTCACTCATACCCAGACTTGCTCATACTAAGACTTTCTCGTTGTCTGACTTACTCAACACACAGCAGATTGTGAGGATGTCTCAAGCGGGGCGCTGGTTTCAACACCCCTTAAGGGGAGCCGCCGAGGGGTATTGCACGGTCCCGTTGGCGGCCGTTTTGTAGGAATGTCTTGAACAGTTTGCCTGTTTTCTGTCTCAACATCCGTCGCTTGGAGAGCAGATTGTGAGGATGTTTCAGACGGGGCGCTGGCTTCAGCACCCATAAAGGGAGCCGCCGAAGGGTATGACACGGTCCCGTTCGCGGCCGTTTTGTGGGGAGGTCTCA